TGACGACATCAGACGTGGTGGAAATGTGTCCGTCGGCAGGCAATCAATCCCAGTTTTCCTTTTTAACGTTGGTCTGCAAGTTGAACTGAACAGAAACCACCAATAATTGAAAGAAGAAGCAGTACACGGAAAGTAATAGTCACAAACGTGCCGCTGCTGGGGAGACGCGATTTGGTGTGTCCTTCCAAAGATGAAGCTATTTTGAGAAGAGAAGTCCCTTCCCATCGCTTTTGTGGCGGTATTTCCGGAGAGAACCAAGTGGACGAGGATGCGGTTGTGCAAGGTATGTTGTCAGAAACAAAGCGATACAACAAAGCTGCTGAATCATTTGAACAAGCGGGATCCAAGTCATGAGGTGGAAAGCGGGACAATGCTAGCAGCGTTTGCACAGCTTGGCTACGGAAACATTAGCCGCTAATAATTAGCCGCCGGACGAAAGCTGCGATTCATTGAGTCATCTTTTATCATGCACCTTTGCAGGTAGCAATGATGCTAACGCCGTTTTGGCGGATCATAGCTTAAAATCGATCATGTTTACCTTTTAAGGTATAGTCATTATTCCCGAGGGGTCCATATTTATTAGTTCGCTGTTATTTTATATTATTCTACATTGGTTCTACTGTTGGATAAAAGTGATTTTAATGTATGAACAAAAAATATAGGTTAGTAAATGTTGAATTTGATGCATCCTATTATCTTTCTTGTCAGTGGCAATTGCTTAAAACGGACAGAAAATGTTTGGGGGAATATCTGGAGCTACTCCAAACACAAGTTTGTCTATTCATCTTCAGTTCACATTAGCAGTATTCAATCAGTCCCCCCCCCACCGCCCCCGAAATATCATCTGCCACCTATTGTTTACAAAAATGATGAAAATGTCTAAAAGACCCCGAAACTCCCAAATCCCATTCGATCAAGATCTCAACTTCTGTTGACTTTTCCGATCTCTATTTAGCAGTATGTATTTTTTTCCTTTTACAAGTCATTATTGGTGGGGATAAAAACAAAATAATAACTAGTAGAAAGAACAGATATCTGCTTTCAAATTTATGGAGTTGCTACAAGTAAAACGTCATCAGAAAATGTACTACTCAAGCCAAGTATAAATACCTAAATACAGAATGTTTGTGTAGATTCTCAGTCATCCAGGTCCTGGTCTTCTATACTGCTTGATTCAAGGCGACTGAATAGAAACTATGTTTTTTGTACTTTGTTCCTACCCGCCAGTCCTGATGAACAATCAGGCCACTATTATTCCACAAGAGAGATTCTTGATTTATGAAGTGCCAGTTGGGAGCCAAGTCCACGTGGAACGTGATGGGGGTGGATGCCGGGGTACAAGCCAGCGTCTGTCAGGTCGACAAGCAGCCGAGCGTCTTTTTGTGCCGATGTGTCTTCTGCTGGCCTGCGTCAATGACGCTTGGACGCTGTTGCAAACGGGGACGCCCGCTGTTCTACCACGCCGCTCGTCAGGCTCCATTTAGGACTCGGGCAGGTTGATGGAGAGCCGAGTCATCCATCAAGGACATCCCGTTTTTTTGTTGATAGCGCTCAAATAAAGACACGCTGCTGGCTGGAGGCATCCATGGACTAATAGCACAGGACCACATTGACCACTGTTCTGCTCATGAGGACTCTAAGGGCCTCTTTGGAATTTCGTTTTTTGCCCAGGAATTTTCCTTTCCTGTCCTATGAGCGAGAAAACTCAGAATAACTTGGAGGAAAGGTTTTTGGAAGTCTAAAAATGCTTAGGAAAGATGCCTCGATGCAAACTTTAGCTTAGGCCTGGTACACCCATCGTAAAAGAGTAAGATGTCTTTTTTTTTAATTTCCTTGAGTGAGAGATTTGATAGAATAGTCTTCAATTTCTTGACAGCACGACCCTGAGTGCAGGTACGAAGGAATATTTTTTGAAGTGCATTTTGATACATTCTGATGTGTTTAAAGAGGTGCTGGCGTTAAAAAAAAAAAAAGTCTGTGTATGGCGTCTGGAAGGTATCCCCGTGATAAATGGGGCTTCACTGTAGATTAATTTGAAGTGACATAACTTTGCTAAATTGCTTAAATTGGTGGTGGTGATGTGAGTTGGCTTTGCAGAAGCTGGAGTGATGACGCGCTTGTGTAATGGAGGAGGAGGAGGAGGGACGGGGGGAAGCAAAGTGCTAAACAAACTAGCAAATGACAAACCTCAGTTAGCGCCAAAGTCAACAGCGCCGGACTGGCCTGCGTGTGTTCAGCTTGGCGGGTGTGAAAGTCGGCTGGTGGGCAGATAAGAGCGTTCGCTCGCTACGTGCCGCTTTTGTCTTCTTTGCTGCTAGCCGAGCTCGTGCGGACGCATCGACTTTTTACTCTGTGTTGTTGGCTTCTGGTGTTTGAGTCTTGCGGATGAGAAAACGGCAGGGGAGACAGCGGCAGTGAAACTCAGCTCAAGCGGTCCAGAACAAGCCATAATATGTGAAAATTCACATTATAGAGACACTACGGAAAATTGTTTAGTTTGACGCCTTTTGGATCACCATCATAACGTCCTCCAGTTTAAATAAAATACAAAATCAATTTTCGAAGAAGCAGGTCTCACAAAGTTCAATCTCAGGTCCAATCCTGTTTAGTCTAAATATAAACAGCCTACCATCTAGATCTGGAGACACCATAAAAGTGTTCAGTTTCACTCCTACATGCTTCACGCAAATAAAATGATAAAAGCACACTTTCACTTTTTGAAGTATCCCTTAATGTCTGTTATCACACTCTCACTGTCAAGAAAAGGGGCGCTATTGTGCAACATCGTAAGTGTTCACTCTCTCTCAGTTAGAAATTTCAGACCAGTAAGCTTCCTTTCTGTCAAGTCCAAGGTTATTTTAAAAAAATACACCAACTAATTTACTATCTCAACTCAAGTCCACTTCTACATCCCACGCAACTTGCTTTAGGGCCCACTACTTAACAGGAACGCAAACTCAGTATTTACTGAAAGCATTCATTCTTTTGTGAACAGAGGGGGCCTTCAAAAAACCTTTGATACAATTATTCATAATATCACTTGCAATTTATTTGAATTATATCTCACTGACTGATATCAGGATGTTAAAACACAACAAAAAAACCTAAATCCCACTTCCAAAGATCTTGTCACAGGTGTCCCACAAGGTTCAATCTTGAGTCCAATCCTGTTCCGTCTTCTTATAAACTATCTACCATCTGTCTGCTAAAGCTGCAAGGTCATTATTTATGCAGATAAGACCGTGATTGTTGTGAAGGTGAAACCATTCAGAGGTCATGCTAGTTGTGATGACAAACATTTCAAAATGGTTGGGGATCATTTGCTGCCTTACTTTTCCAAAATTGTCGTTATGTCTTTTGGCAAAATAAAACAGGCAGAAAACATGATGATATTATTTCTGGACAGGGAATCCTAACTGTAAATCAATGATTCTAAGATTTTTGACACCTAGTAGCACCTAAGAAATACTTAATTAGCTTTCAAAATCGCAACGTCTCAAATAAGTGCCAACAGAAACAAGGTGGAGGTTTTATTCCGAAAAGGTTTATTTACTATTATTTTAATCATGCACAGTTCCATCACTAATATTGCAATCAAATATGGCTCAATTAAGAAAAAACAGCTTCGATTGAAGCTGTTTCTTCGGATTAAAAAAAGAGAAAAATTTGACTATATTCTTGGATTTGTTCATTATTCTTGGAAAAAGATTTCCTTTTTTATGTTAGTTTTTTTTTTTGCTGTTATTGCAAGATTGCAAAACATTTTTCTTGAAAATTTACTCAAAAGTTTTCATCCTGATATGCTGTCTATTTTTATTTTGTATTTTTTGTAAGCATGGCTTGTAATGCTCGGTGTCGCTGGTGTTCACGCCGCGCTGACGTTTTCCAGACTTTTAGCCATCGTTTGGCTGTAAAGCAAACCAGGCGTGAATTAGCTCATTGACAAAGCAAACAAACGGGCATTTATCTGCGCCGCGCCGCCAAGAACGAAAGATCCTCGAGTTTAGACAGCTTCACGCTCGCAGCTGACACTTTCCACGGCTCCCGCTTGCTTGCCGATGTTTACTTGGGAGCCAACAGCCGGCCATATTGTGTCGCCGGAGCACCACGCCAGCTGGATACCATGATACTGTGATTTAGTTTAGTTGACCAAGCCTGGAACTCCATTTATTTGTGATATCAAATCAATTTTCCCCATTGATTGTTTACATGTCGTCAATATCCCTTGTAAAAAACAAATATTGGCAGTATTAAGATTTTCAAACACACAAAAACATGAATATGGGTTTTAAAAAACCCGAATAAGACCCCTGGTGCTACCCTTTTTCTAACCCAAGATTTGCATTTTGCTCCATCTGCACGGAATCTTGGTCTTTGGATTGCAGGAAATACTTGTATGTGCGACACTCTCGCCTAACGTTGATGTCTTCGCGGCGTTGTCTGTGTCTATGGTGAAAATAAGTGTACAGACACGGTCTGGCACGCAACTCACACAAGCAGAAGTAAACAATCATGGCAAAACTGAGAGATGCAGGACAGCGGCACACTTTTGGAGCGAGCAGGAAATCGGCTTGTTTATTCCTGCAGTGAGTGATTATGTCCTTTACTGACAGTAAAAAGTAACAAGCAGAATTGACGTCTATTTGCGTCATGATGTCCGTGCGTCGCTGTTTAAATGAAAATATTTAAATGCTGGAATAACTCTTCCGTCTGCTCACGCATGCAAAGGGGTTATTCTGAATGTTTCAGGAATCTCAATTTTGACCCAGTTATTGACCGCAAGTACACGTATTCATTGAAGTGAATTGAGATGCAGTGAACCCCCGCTATTTGCACGGGATAGTGCCGGCTGGGGAGGCCAGACCTCAAATAGCAAAAATCTGTGTTGAAATGACGCCCATTGGAATGCATTGAGGAGGGAAAAAAAATAAACCCCAAAAATTATTCAGAAAATGCTGATAAGCCTTCAATATGCTCCCCCCCCCCCAAAAAAAAAACGGCGGGGAAACAAAATATATTGCAATATTGGGGAAGAAATCCAATATGTGAATGCGGAGAGCCGTTGTAACTGAGGCTCATTCCAAAAAAAATCCTAAAATATTCGTGACCAAGTGGGAATAAAACCACCCATATGCGTTTCCTTATTAAAAGACAGCACATTTTTTTTGCTTTGAGTGGAGTCTGGAACGGATGAATGGCCTTTCAATGCATTTTGATGAGTTGAGATGCTTTGCGTTACAACGGTGGCCATGGAACCAATTCAAATGAGCATTTCTTGCGCACTTAGGAAGTGCACTCTGCTCTGTCACGCGTGAAGCCGCGTACTACCGTTTTTCTCTCTTCAGAGCTCGCAAACTGGAGCCGAAGAATCCAGCACGTGTTGCACACAAGCTCTCAGGCGCCACAAGAAGGTTTTTACGCACGCCCACCGAGGAGGAGGTGTCGGGATGTCCTCCTCCTCGTCGTTCTCCTCCTCCTCGTCTTCGTGCCGCAGACAACAAGCGCGCATTGACCACGCGAAAGTCCGGTGACATCACGCGCACCTCCTAGCATAAAAAGGGCCATTCGGCCGCCGGGACGGACGGAAAAACGCAACGGGCCCGCGAGGAGGCGTCCGCTCGCTCAGCATGGACGCCTCTCACGCGTAATTGCGCATCGGCCCACGTCGACATGGACGGCAACCTGGGAGCCGTGTGCGCGCTGCTGCTCGTGTCCGTCGGGCTGCTGGCGGAGCGCGCCGGCTGCCAGCACTACTTCCTGCTGCGGCCCGTGCCGAGCGACAGTCTCCCGCTGGTGGACTTGCGCGAAGACCCGGACCCTGCGCTGGACCCCCGGGAGCGGGACCTCAACGAGACGGAGCTGCGGGGGATCCTGGGGGACTTCGACGGCCGCTTTCTGGCGCTGTCGCCGCCGCCCCCTTTGCAGCCGGCGTCGGAGGAGGAGGCCAAGTCGGCCGAGCTGCCGGAGATCGATGACGAGACGCGGCAGAAGCTGCCCAAGGAGATCCGCGCGCTGGACTTGGACGCGCAGCTGCTGGGGAGGCGTCACAAGGGCGGCAAGAAGCTGAAGCGACGCTTGCAGCAGTGGCTCTGGGCTTACTCCTTCTGTCCGGTCATGCACTCCTGGAGCGACCTGGGCGTGCGCTTCTGGCCGCGCTACGTGCGCACGGGCAGCTGCCCGGCCAAGCGCTCGTGCTCGCTCCCGGAGGGGATGACGTGCAAACCCGCCGCGTCTGCGCACCTCCACCTGCTCAGGTGGAGGTGCGCGCGCAGGAAGGCGGGGCTCAAGTGCGCCTGGATCCCCGTGCGCTACCCCGTCATCACCGACTGCAAGTGCGCGTGCGCCACATAAAACTGCCGTCACGTCGCTCGCGCGATTCGGGATGGACGCCACAAAGACACGCACGCGCCATGCTTGCTTTCAGGGCTCCTGCAAGTGCTGATTGCCAAACAGGAAGGACCGCGGATCAAGTTCATCGTGGATGCCAGCTCAACTGTTTGGTAGTCTTTGAGAGGACTGTTTCAATATTCTCGACACGCTGTGTTACCGTTCACCTCAAATAAAGATGTGCTGCTGCACCTGATGGACCTGCAGTACCCCCCCCCC